TATTGTGAGTCATGGTCAATGCGCTTTTAAGCCAAACAACGCATTCTCTTGCAGGGCGGGCGTGGTCAGCAATGACGAGCACGGCGGGATCGTGGTTTTATAAAAATCATATTTTAATTATTTTAATATCTAATACTATATAGTACGTAGTTTCATATATTATTTTATGGGAGCGGCGCCGATAGTATATATAGTACTAGTACTCTATATACATACATACATATAAAAGCTAACGACGACAAAGCGCCGAGACAAGTATATGTATATATACATAGATAATACTATAACTAGTACATACACGGCTCCAAGATTTCACTAAGCATGTATCCTTCGGAACAAAGAATCTATAATATATATCACTCATTGCTAAACAAGTCCTTTCGTGTGCGTTCGTCTTTGTACTAACAGGCACACAAGCTTAATCTAGCAACTTAGCTATTTTCAACTAAGAATTTTATTTATTTATTTGTTTATTTGTATTTCTTAGTATCAATAGATTCCCTAGGCAAATTAGATTGAAAACTTGCTTCGAAAGGCGATGCTAGTACTCATCGTTAAGCCTTACGGATCAAGTTAATTAGCCTGAATCATAACACAATCAAGTCATTCAAATAGCTACCAGTTACCGGGACAATACAGTCAGCTAAACTAAGCGCCATTGAATACAGGTAGAATAGAACCTGCTTCAAGACTTAGACCTAATCAGAGTTATCGTCATTTTTAAGAGTAGTTCTTTCGAACCGCGCGTCTCTAACCAAGTTTAAATTAATTAGCTCTTGCGACCTGCGACTCTCCTCAGTCACGCTGCATTGAGTTTCGCAGTTAATTAGCTGCTATCGCTACTAAATATGTTCAAGTATCAAATCGGATACTAGCCATATTTGTTCTGGGTCCAATGAAACTTCGATCCACCAGGGGGCTTGCTAAACACCAAGTGAAGCCTCGTTGCAGAGTAGAGGGTGACATGACCCGACCGAAGATAAGTTTACTTCCAAACGTCATTCTACCAAAGGATGACAACCTTCCGAGACTTAGATCGAAACCCACAGTAACCCTCGAGAACTAACGTTCGAGTAGGAACGAAATTGAATATATAGGACCAATCTTTTTTGACCACTTTTACTAGCATGTCCCTGGGGAAGGAACAGGAATCCTTACGAACAAACCACAACAAACCACTAAAAGCTCGACCTTCACCACTGAGGTCTAACCCAAAGTACCTAACTTTAAATAATGGCGGAATAATAGCCTAATCGCGGTGACCACATGAGCAAAGTAGGATACTCGCGCCAGGCAAGCGTCAAACTAAGGATCTAAGATACTAGCGCTGGCACAGGCGCTAAAGTACTTCGAGAAGAGATTTCTCTTCTCTTATACGGTGTTTTTAAGTACCTAAAAGAGTAAAAAACGACCCTAAAGGTCGCAAAAAGTGCTTCCACCGAGTGAAAATAAATATACATAATATCAAGAAAAGTAGTTTAGTTGAGTTTAGGTAGAAGCACTAATAAAAAGATAAAAATTATTTTAAGATATAATTTATTAGATATAAATTATTTAAACTTAAGAGATATGAATTATTTAAATGTAAGATACTATAAATGAGTTAATCCTCATTTAGCTGAATTAACATTAAATTATTAACTTTAGCTAATATGAAAATTACTACTTTGAGCTTCGGTGACATTATCGAAAGCTAATGATTGTATCAATGGGTGCTGGTCTCCGGTGTGATCAAACCCATCGCCTAGTTCGAGATAAACTGGAAGGTGGCTAGACAGCAGTTCTTTGAGCACATCAATAAACGTCAAGAGACGAAAATCTTTTAGTATGGCGACTTGGAGTACTTCCCTTGTGTCTGTCGTCGCCAGATGCCCTCAGCGCTGTGGGCTGAGGATGCACAGCCCGCCCATATCAGCGTGGGCCCTAATGAGCAACCATCTGGGTATCAGTCTGACTGTTCGATAAAAGATGCTTGCTAACTGAGGTCCTCACACAGAACAGCTGGTGAGCTGTACACAAGGATGGCGCTCAAACCGGAGAACGGTAGTAGCTTGTAGACAAAGATCACAGACATTGGTCTATGAACGGCCAAGAATTGGAAGTTCTTCTTAAAATTTATGAGAGCGAAGTACGCAATCATCAAAGACCAAAAAAAGTGTAGTGTAGGTGTGAAACGAGCTTTTAAACATTAAAGTATTATTAGTTGGTCAAATATTAATTTGTAATTTTTTTATTACATTCTCACGACTTCTAATTCTGGTATGGACTCTGATACGAGCCCATGGTTCAAATTACAATCTCTGGAAAACTCTAAATATCCCATGTACTAATAACGACTGCATAAATACCTGGGCATTCTTTAGCAGCATAGTATTCTAAGAAATTTTTTTTTTAAAATGAGTTAAACGTAAATGTCGGACACGAAAGTTCCTTTAATAAAAAATCTTTTCTTTAATAAGAAATCTTTTATTCTTAATCTAAAAATAAAAGCTGCTGCTGTTAAAAAGTTTGCGAGGATTCTGCTCCATAAAAAGTGGTAAGACACTTACCATATAACAGCCCCATTAAACGTTTTTCATTTGGTAAAAAACCTATTACTAATTTATAATAGTAACAGAGCTAAAAAGTTAAGTAAACAACATGTCCCAATCTTGCTAATCTAGAGGTTTGATAAAAGAATGCACCAAAATATAGATAAAAACAAATTAAATTATTTCATTTAATATAGGAGGATGAGAAGATATCTAAAAGTTAAAGAAAATGCGTTGATCTTAGAAATGAGAAATATTATACTTGTGGAAACAGTAGCATCGCTGGAAATGCTGCATTTTGGGCAAAAGATTAAAGCGCAATCCCTTACGAAGTGAAAGATTCACAGGTAAGTAAATTTTAAGCCATAAGTTTTAGTCTGGATTGCAGTTTCGTAAGCTGCTGTTTCAATTTCTCCTTTGCAAAACTGAAGCATTTTTTAAAAGATGATTTCATCGAGTTAATATTCTCTGGCCAGACTTAGCAAGTTCACGTTACGTCTATTATGTCACCACAATAATTAACAAAAAATAACGTACTTTTCGTCCCCAAAGAAATGAATCCTTTGGCTACACCTAATGCATGGTCTTATTTTTGGGCGATACATAGTAGAATTATTCATGAGAAGGGTTGCAGTGCAGAAAACGAGATTCAGTTAGCACATAATATTTAAAAAAGCTAAAGCAAATTAATTCAGATCATCCAAACTATAACTCACTAATTTCCATTTAAACTGAGAAAAATTGAAGAATGTACCTAACAATAATGTAAACAAAAATTCTAGTTTATAAATCAAACTTACGCTTTTTCGTTGTAACTTTTAATTAAAATATAAGATATGTAAAAAAGATGTCCAACTACTTTTGCATCATTGGTTACTCTTAGCATTAGTCTACCCTAAACAAAAAAAATTTAATTTTACTTCTGACCATCCTCTAAACTTTAACTTGAGCGCGGTTTCAACTTATCATTACTTAATTTCAGACGTTGAATTTACCTTGATTATATATCTAACTCAAGCTTTGATTAAATACTCACTCAGCTCACTATATATTAAACTTATAACTCCTTTTCTGGGTCATTAGCAGAGACCTCGCTCACCTTTCTGTAGATCATCAATTGCTTTTTTTCAGATTTGTAAACTCGTCCTCTTCTTTTTGGGACATCGCCCTACCATAACACCTTAAGTTCATACCATGAATCTCCTACCTTATTACTGAATATTTTTAATTTATTATCTTTTAACAAATAACTCCAACTTAAACTTCAATCCCATTCAGTAGGGGTTTTATGCAACATTGAAGTGACTGTATTGGTCACACCTAAATACGAATCTTTTTTTTTTTAAATACAACATAAAATAGATAAACTTTCGCTTTACTATAACTTTAGTAACTCTCACTAGATAATAAATCCAACCCCCAAAGAGTAGTATCCTGATTTAATTTATTCTGAAAGAATATACATAATCTTTATTACTCTCATTATCATTATTTACTAGCATACATTACCACTTCTCTGCAGGTTACAGAATTAATAAACCACTTACAATTATTATTACTTTATTTTAATTTATTTTCTAGCCTAAACTGTAACTCTTAAATTACTTTCGCTAATCTATTTATAATACGATTTCAAATTATTGGATCCATTTCACACCTTTTTCGCGTTAATTATACTCATTCTAGAACTAACTTTTCATCATAAAGTGTATCATGGGCAGATAAAAACAAGTCCATTCGTATTCCGCTTAAACGTTTTAGAGCTCTGTAATACTAATTAACAAATAACCCTCATCGATTTAGTAGCGGAATATGTAAGATCTCGACTTTAATCGTTTATATCACGTCAATATTATTATTATTGTTATTACCTACATAATGCTATTACCATTAACGTTATTATTACTAATGCCGATTGCCGGGCGTAGTGTTACGATAATTACTATTACTAACACTAATCCGATCTTGATCACTTTATCTATAAATGTGTTATTTTTCTAATAATCATTGTTTTTAGTACTATTTCAAGTTTAAGCTATTATTTTAATGTCACTTATATATACTTATAATGTCTCAGTACTTTTAAAATTGGTTGTATGAGGGTTTAAATTAGCAGAAAGTATATTTGTAGTTAATTTGAAAGCCCTAATATTTATCAGAATTTTTTATATAACTCCTATTGGAAAATTACCGTTTTATTAACTTCTAGCATCTAATCCCTTTTAAATCAAAGCTAGTAAAAAAAGGGCAAGGGAGATGCTAAAGGTAAAATTTAATTAAAAAAATAATGCAAATACATCTAAACAACGCAACAGTTAAAAAAATAAGAAACTACTTTGTATAACCTATTATACTTGTGTACTGACGCCTCTCTACTTTAGTGACCATATATAAAACTATTTAATACTAAATTTAATTGTCACTTGTCAGTGACACTACTATGCGAAAGAAGTAGGCCACCACACAACCACGTGACGAAGAAAACTTTGTTAGGCCACTGACTAGCATATACATACCTACTAAGGCGGGGTAAGGTAAAAACGTGCCCCGCAGGATTATTGATCTTCTTGCACCGGCTTTTTGCTTAGTTACTCAAATTATGTCGTTATGAAATCAGAAGTCAAGCTGGGTGTCTTTTTTGTAATTAATATATGTAAACAGTTTATTAATTTTTTTAAATTAAGGAAAGAGAGGAGGTTTTGGAGGCTATAATGCTCGCGATAAAAGTACTACAAACCGACTTAAAGTATATAAAAGTGGTGGAAAGGTCGTTTTCCGTAGCGATCAGTTTGTTTATATGGAAAATCTACTATTTTAATCAAGGTTAGTAGAGATAGAACTGGAAAAATAGTAAAAAATGCAGTTTTTCAAAATACGCTTGCAAGCGGAACCGTTGCCAGAGTGCAACCAGATAGGCGTTGGTTTGGAAATACCCGTGTTATAGGTCAGCGACAACTGGATTCTTTTCGTGATTCCCTTCAAAATTCTCTTATTGACCCATATAAGTATACATACTTTTAGTTGTCCTGCTATTATTTATATTCTTAGCGCATTCTTGTTGTTTTGAGGATCGTGTTGAGGCAAACAAGCTGCCCCTTTCTTTGTTAAATAGCAAAATTACTTCTAAACGCAGTCACATTTTAGAAGTTGAAAGCTTTGAGTCGACTTTTGGTAGAAATACATATCTATTTAATATTTTATTATAGTAAAACTTTTTATAAGGTAAAAAGGCCACTAGAAAAAGAGCAAAACTAAATAGCTCGACTTTAGAGGAATTAGTAAATCAAGTAGCTGAGAGTTCTGGTTTTTTTATTATTTTTATTATTATTATTACTTTTTCTATTCATAACACATAATTAGACAAGTATGACCCCTCAAAAGACCAGTTACTTGCTCCTGTAGTTGCTAAAGATAAATCGCCGGACGAAATCTTTAAAAAGGGGCAAAGTAAACGCATCTGGACGGAACTTTATAAGGTAACAATGACATCACATTAATGGTTTTCGAGCCCCTTTTACCATATTTTATTGACTGCGCGAGGTTATAGATTCGGCCGACGTGCTGATCCAAGTACTCGACTCTAGGGATCCTCTTGGGACACGAACAAAGTCTCGTAACATCTTTTCTTTATTGAGAGTTGTGCGATCTGCTGCTGGTAGGTACATCGAAAGGTTTCTGAAAAAAGAAAAGCCGCACAAGCAACTTGTGTTCGTCCTGAACAAGTGCGATCTGGTACCCACGTGGGTCACAGTGAGGATATTTTTTGCTCCGAACGCGCCACTCTTCTACTTGCACACTCTCTAGGCGAAATGGATAAGAGCTCTCTCTGCGGAGTACCCGACCCTGGCCTTCCACGCCTCCATCAACAACCCTTTTGGGAAGGGCTCGCTCATACAACTTTTGCGCCAGCTCAGCCGGCTTCACAGCGACAAAAAACAGATCAGGTAGGTCCTTTCGCACGCTCCTGTGGTATAGGAACTACGAGTCGTTCTTAGCGTGGGATTCTTTGGGTATCCAAATGTCGGGAAGTCCTCCATAATCAACACGCTGAGGAAGCAGAAGGTGTGCCGCGTCGCCCCAATTCCTGGGGAAACCAAATGCTGGCAGTTTGTATACTCACCGCCATCTCCTGCCTCCTCGCTCCTGAGCTTCTCTAATCTCGTGGCAGATACATAACCCTGTTCAAGAGAATCTTTCTAATCGACTGCCCGGGCGTCGTATATAACTCGGGAGACAGCGAGACGGACACTGTCTTGAAAGGAGTGGTATCCTTCTCCTCCCTTGTGCCTCGTTTCCTTCGATAAAAACGTTTGCCAGGTCCGCATCGAAAATCTGCCTGACCCTGCCGACCACGTGGAAGCCGTTCTTCAAAGGTGTAGGGCGGAGCACCTAGCCAAGCACTATGGCGTCAGGTATGCGTTTGTATGGCACGCTGCGGTTGTGATAACTCAGTTGTTCCCTAGTTCTTGGACCAGCCACGTTGACTTTCTAGAGCAATTGGCTACTAAAACGGGGAAGCTGCGGAAGGGCGGGGAACCCGATATCCACACTGCCGCCAAAATTGTTTTGCACGACTGGCAAAGGGGGAAAATCCCGTTCTATACGCTCCCCGCTGGAGAGGCCTGTGACAGGACGACAATGGAAGCTTCTCAGGGTAAAATGAAGATCGAAAACCAGTCGCTAAGCGCCCAGAAGGGGCTCTCCTGTAGTTTGGTGCCCGCCACGAGCGTCTCACCTCCGAAGATCGAGGAAGACAATACCGGTATAGACTGGGATGAGGTGTGCGCGAGCGTGGCAGAACCGGTAAGCTTGACTCAGGCCACCAAACGGGACGCAGACCAGCCCGAAGGAACGGAGAAGGTATGTCGACCCTTCATTGGTGTACTGCACGAGTGACATTAGCATTCGCAGAGGCCTCGGACAGATGGCGAATGGCACAGCAAAGAACACAAGTAGAATCAGAGACACGTGATAATAAACTATTTATTGCAGCTTCTTTCTATTTGTTTACTGAACCCTCGGATACGCGTTTCATTTTCGACCAATTAACCAGCGCGCTTCTGTCGTTGACCGCGTAAGTTAAGTTAACATTGGAAAAACAGCGATTATCTAGACACCTTCTGCCTTCTAGCTATGCGCCTCTGCCTTTTCGCCTCGACTCGGTTTCTTATGTTCTGCTCGCGTTTTTTGACTCTCCGCATCTTTTGCGCTGCCTCTTCCTCCCTCCGCGCGGCCCTGCCCGTGCATATGTGAGTTGCTAAGAAACGCAAAGGGTCACGTGGAAGGCAGACCACTCCCTTGCGCTTCTCCTCTTCTGGGTGTTTTTGCGTCGGATGCTTCGCTTCAAAAGTTTAATGTCGTCGCGTTGTTTAACTCCCTGCGCCATCTCGAGGGCTTTCCTTTTTTTTAACTTTTCCTGCGAGCAGAGAAGTCCAATCACTTCAAAAAATGGCCAGCGGCAGGTGTGTACGAACCTCAGCGTTGGCAAACTTCTTAAGGTCGGTCAAAGCGAGTTTCAAAAGATCATTCCTTTTCGCCTCAGCTTTGCTTAAATCCTGAATTAAATTTTTCCTCTTTTTTGTTGTGTTTTCATCTTCACCACCAAATTCAAACTTGTTAAAAGTAATATTTTCTAAACTACAACCCCCTTCGTTCGTTTCTTTTTTGTCCTTGTGATTTTTTCCCGCCTCTTCCCTAGCTTTAACTTAGGTAAACCCAATAAAAATAAGTTAAGTCACAAAATCGAAAAATTTTATAAATCTGTTTAAAGCAAACTTTTTATACACCATAAATATTCACATAATATTATCAATTCGTCCAACTAAACGACGTTTTTACTATAAATTTCAAACCTTTAAAAGACTTTTTGACCCTGTCAGCTTCTTCCCTGTTATCTAAAAATCATAGTTCTTAATGGAAGTATGAAAAAGTAACATAACGGTAACATAACACCCGCAAGCGCTAATTTTAGGTTTCCTAGCGCCGCAGTTTTTCTATTTCTTTTTTTTTCGGATCTCCCTTTTTGTGCGTCCTTTTTATAATCTACTTTAAACATAACATTACTATCACGCCAAAAAAATGTTTATTATAAGTGGTACTCTTTTTAGCCTTAACTTCTTGTAACTTTGCTAAAAACCGCTCACGTAATTCAGGTATTGAATTTGCTTTGCCTAAAGGATATGATTCGGGTTTTTTGTTGGAAGAAGTACAGGGGCCGTCACTTTCTAATTCAGCTCCAAGTTTTGACCCAGAAGTTTCTTTATTAACTGTCGAAGAATTTTTATTTTCTTTGACAAATTGCAACACTTTACGGGAAGGATCCAACTATATATAAATAAGAGCTAAAAAATTTATTTTTACGGTACGACAGTTGAACCTTCTCAAGCAATCTTCGCTTGAGAGCCTCCTTTTTGTTATTTAAAAATACTTTCTCTTCTTGAGTTAATAGAAATTTCTATAGACTTTAAAGTTAAAAACCAGGGGTTGTTAAAAGAAAACTTACGTTCAGTCCCCCTCCTAAACTTACACCTTCTTTTAAAAAACGTTCGGATACTGCCCTCAGCAGACTTTCGAAATAATGGCTGTGTTCTAAAAGTCTTTCCTACCAGGAATAAATGTAGAGAGTTACAAGATAAAACTATTATATAATATTTTCTACCTTCAGGGCACAGTCATCAAGCTCTTCACGTTTCTCAACCATCTTCTTTTGAGATTAGATATATGTTACCAACTCGCTTAGTTCAGTTTACCTCGCTTTGTTTAGGATCTCAAACCGTGTGACGCAACTATGCTGTGGGACATGTGCAAGCTGGCAAGTGATCGGTCATCAGCCAGTGCCACGCAAATAGTGGGTGCATCTAAATATTTAGGGGGAAGCGCCCTAGCGAAAAGCACTTGAATTGGAACCGCCCGATCTGAGAAGTCAAATCTCCAGGACCATGGATGGTATGCGATGGGTGACCAGGAGACTAAGCACGTACTGCGTCCCCTGCCCCCCAAGAAAATCAGAAAATTCATGTACTCCTCCAGGAGGTATACAGGCACCTACTTGCGCCCGAATCAAAACTAAGCGATCTGCGCTCGACTTACCGAGAACCGCGAAAAAATCATTAATGAACCAAAAAATAGTAAAGTACTTACTTTAAGATAAATGGTATACCCAAGCGCTGGCTACTAACTTACCGCAATAATGTTAATTATTTATGCTAGATATTTTAGGTGTATATCTTTATTATATTTAAGTTCTAGCGTCTAAAGATTGTATCGTACTTTGCGCGATGCTTAGAGGGTTATGACTTCAAAAAATATGGACTTAAATTTTTCAAATTATCTTGCTATTAATGGTCAATTTTTAATTTTCTGCTTACACTATAAAAGAGATTATAAGGGGTCAATAAGGAGATAATAAATAAATTTCTACCTTCAGTTACATGTAATTTTTGAAAATCTTTGTTTTTTTTAATCTTCGTATTATGTCTTATATTATAAATTTTGTATTTTTCCTTTAGCAAAATAAAGAAACTTCTTTTTTGCTGACAGGCTTATCATTTATCACGTAAGATAACACAACATTATTTCTTGTAGCCACCCACCCCACCAGTGATATCCTGAGCCCACCTGTATCAAATGAAAAGTGCGGGAGGAGTACTAATTGAGGTTTATGTCTCTCCTTTCCCTTTTGTTACTTCCAACCACCCTCCTCTTGAAAAGATAAAGTAACGGTCTTCAACCTTAAAAGCTTTATTATAACTTTGGTTGCACAGTCGTAGCGCTAATTCGTAGGGCCTAAGGCTATTAGTACACCTATTTACTGTACCTACCTCTACTGGTAAACTTACCTATTAAAGGCTTATTTACAAAGCTTTTACAATTGGTATAGGGCTTTCTTTACTATATTTATTGTAAAAGCTTTCTTTGATAGTTTAGTTTGTTAGTGCGAATTTCTCCACTTCTTCCAGAGAATACTTTCCCGGTGTCTCTGGGCTAACAAGTTTAAGTAGTTACAACCTTTTAGATATTGATAATTTTTCCCCCAATATAAAAATTTTGACAACCTAAAAGTATTTTAGTTCTAGCTTACTGTCCTTCTTTTAGCTCCATAAATCAGCAACGCAAACATAAGTATATATTACGTGTTCGTAATTTTATAAATTATAACCATTTAACGTAACTACTTGTGTATGTTTATTTCACATACTTATATATACATAACTTATATTTATGCGCCATTATCTTGAAATCTTTTAAGATCTTATAAGCGTTTGCTTTTAAACCTATTTACGTGTTTAAAGGGATACAGAGTAAGCGGGCTTTAGTTAAATTGTGGTGATTTGCCACTAAGGGAAAAGGCACGTTCAAAAACCAAGCTTTATTCTACAAAAGCTTCTTCTCTTATAAAAAGAGCACAATCGAGGAAGGGCACTTGAACTTAAACCATATTTTTTTGGAAGCATAACATTTCTTTTAAAGTTCTCTGCTTTACCTAAAGCTTTCTTAAATTATTAAGCAAACATATATAAATTTTACATAAGTTGCTGCGTAAAATTAGTTTTAAAAGTACTAACTGAGCTTAAACTAGTAAAAGATGGTTACGTAGAACCGCCAGTTTACTTATCCGCTTAATTCCTAGATATTATTGAGATTTATACTTGTAAGAGTTAAATCTCTAATATAAATAACTTAAGCTTGCAAAACTCGCACCCTACATTGTGCAAAATACTAGGGAACTAGACCCAGGTATCACTCTTGCTTCGGATTTTTGGTTAGAACGGGCGGCCTGCATTGAAATCCCCCAGCTGCATACTTACTGGTGGCTAAATAATGAAACATACGCGCAGCACAAAGTTGGTAAGCTCGTTAAGAGAGATATCTGGATTGAAATTTACTTGAAAATAAACAGGAAACGAAATACGAATAAAAAGAAGAAAGCATAAGAAGGTTAATTAGGAGAAGAGATATCTAATTTTTGCATAAAATAAATAAAAAAAAGTCTGGAGGGCATAAATAATTATAAATAGAAAGTAAGGTGCTCTTTGAACAGAAACTTAGTTAAATTTCTTTCATTTCTTGTTAGGTTCATTCCAAAAACTTGTTATGATGAATTACTCTTCTAACTTTATAAGTAAACTATGTTACTAACTGAACAAGCTGTTTTACACTCAACTCCGGAGGACTTTAGTAATAATACTGAGAACATAATTGGTGAAAGGACAAATTCTATAACAGAGGCAAGTAGTGTTCGTAACGTGCCAGGGGAGGAAATTATTAGTAAAACGACTTCAAGTCAAGAAAAAGGCAAAGGTAACTTTACTTTTGCGTTAAATACTTTACTTATTGTAATACTCTTCATAGAACCTTTTAACTTAACTTTTTTACCACCCTATAAAGCTCGATAGTTAATATTTAATAACTAGATTTTCAAAAAAATCTAAAGCGCACTTCTCGGGCTAAAGAATATATTAGCAAAGATGATATAGTAAAATCTTTTCTCTAAATAGTTTTTGTTGTTAACATTTCGTTAGAAGGATTCTTGTTCAATATGCTTACAAAACTTTACCAGTTCTGGAAATCATCGTCCCTTTGTTTCCCCTTGCGGGCACGTCTTTGGAGAGAAGTTTGTTTATTTATATTTGTGCATAAGTTATTAGAAGTCCTGTACGTTGTGGATGTTACTACTTTTGTAAAAATGTTCTGTGAATTGTCAGCTGTCTTAAGATGTGGGTAGTAGAAAGAAAACAGAGAACATGCCCGCTGTGCAAGTGTAAAGTAAATATTAAGCGCTGCATCACCATTAGAGGCATCTCCAAGGTTTTTATTATTCTCTGTCGAGATGATTCTTGTTTATAGTAAATTAAGGGGCTGCTTCTCTGCGATAAAAGTGAGCTGGAGGATCTAAAGAGAAAATACAAAGATTTAAAACTACAGAAGGTAGTGCTGTACTGCTTGACCTAACTTTTGCTTATCCTCTGCGCTCATGGTGAAGTTCGAGTCCGACTGCAAAGCTTTTGATCTACAGCAGAGGCTCGAGGGTCTAAGAACGCAGTCTGAGTTGCTTCAACGCGAAGTTGAGCGTCTTCAGAGGTGCATTGAACTTTTTTTTTTAAGAAAGGACTTCTTATTTTCCATAAGGTCGGCTATTAATTCTCTGAGCGTGAAGTGCGTCGGATCCGTAACTGTTTCTTTGGTTCGTATACTCTACTGCCGTCGGAGAGCAATTTCAGATCATCACGCCCCCTCCTCTTTTTGAGCAGAACAGGATGGCTCGCGTCATGACTCTCGCGCCGCACCGGCAGGACACCGTGGCCGTCTCTTCTGAGGTGTTTGGTGATAGAGAAAGATGGGGTGTGTCGCTTCTGGATCTGAGCGTAGGAGGAACCACCCGGACGACACTTTCTGTGGGTATTGCCTCGCATATGGCTGTGTCTGGCCGCCCATGACACTGATTGCCCCTGCCAGTGCACGAGGGCGTCATAAGAGATCTGAAATTCCAGCCCTCCTCGGCCCATCTTCTGACCGTTTCTCTGGACAAGACGGCTAAGATATTTGATGTTCGAGCCTCATCACAGCCCCTTCGGTGGCGCTTTCTTGACAGGCCTTCATTCTCTCTTTTACGCTTTCCCCTTTGGAAGGATCTGCTTTGGTCAGAAAGCGTGGTCCTGCGCCTGGAGCGCCTATAATCCTAACGTTTTCTACGCTGGGTTGTGTCCGCTTCTCTTACTGACCTTAGCTCTGCAGCTCATGGGCGCTTAACAGGCTTGCCGGAGGGCTGGTGGAGAGCTACGACATGCGGAACCTGGCGGATCCCCTACTCAAAGGTGGCATAATTATACCTCTTTTTCTATGGTGGGCTCTTGTGATGCCCGGTCCTTTTGTAGAGCAAACAAATAGATCGAGTGTTGTCGCTCTCTACTCGTTTGCAAATAGAAGTCTTGTCGCTGCTGGCATCCACGGCGTGCAGTACTACCGGCAGGAGTCGGGTTTGCTGAAAGCACAGTTGCTTAACCCTGCTAACAACGAAACTCTGAAAGGTTGCAACCTACAAGGCTACAGAATTTGGCCACTCGACTCTTGCTATCGGCAGGTTGCACGTGTGCCTCCGTTGGTGGAGACGAGTCCATCATCATCGTCACTTACAGAGGGGGCGCTAGTAGGCCCTCCCCTTACGTCTACCATGTGGCAAGTGCCTTACGTTCTATGTGGTTCTAAAGATCGCGCTGCTGACACTATCCTTCACACTTCGCAGGGATTCTCTATCGCCAGGCTTCAGCTTGCGCATCCCGTTTATCAACTCACGGCGTACGACACTAAGCGGGTACATTTACGTTGCTTTAAAAAAAGAGAATATTTATGAAAGTAATATTAACTAGACTGTTCTATCGAGGTCGACCTTATTCATAAAGGACTGTGCGCCCTACTTTTGTACGGGAAACGAATCTGCCGAATCGGTCTTTCACTCGCCCTTCTTTCTTTTCTTTGACATTGTAATAACTTTTCTCAGGTGGACATTTGGGACTTGGGCCGTAGAAGAGTAGTAAGCAGTCTTAAGATATCGGAAAATTCAGCGCCTTTTCTAGATCTTAAAGCTTGGGAGAGTCCCACTTATCACATACTGGCTTCGCTTACGGCGTCGACTCTTTACATAAGCAAGATTGAGAGACCTGAGCCAAAATCGCCGAACTACTAAGCTTTTTTTTGTGTTAAATCAGAAGTCATTGTATGACTGTAACGATCCGCTTGCCAATAAAAGTAGTAAAGACCTTTTTTACGTCCTCACAAGGTCCGTCTTACTCAGAAGGAAAGTTGCGGAAGTCTATAGTATGGCCAATCGATTTGACTAAAGGTTCCAGCGAGGACATCCACTCCTCGTTAACTTCCAAAATCTTAGGGCCATCTGCTGCTCTTGTCGTAGAGCGGAGTATGAATATTTTCCCGTTAAAATCGTCCTCGAGGATGTAGCAAAGAGTTAAGTCACTTCTCGCCTCTAAGATCCTCGTAATGTTATCAAGACTTATAACACTTAAAAGTTTGTAAGGTTGTTTTAGATCGCGTGTTTGGTCACCCACACTGAAGCTGACCAGCGACCCGCGGCACCCGGAAGTAAATAGACTACTAATGCCACCAGTTGTTAGAATTTCTTCCTTGTCATTTTTTTCAACTCTTTTCCTAGTGAGGAGCAACAAGTCATTAAATAAAAAAGCATATATATGTTCATTCTTATTACAAGCGAGACTCGTCAAAAAGGGTTTTTGTAAAATATTAACGAGTTCAAGATGGATGACACCCTCTCGTATAAGTCTTCTGCCTTCTTTGTAGAGCTTTACGTGTTTAAAAGGTTCCTCAAACTCCAAATTACGCTGGATGTAGTGAAATCTTTCTTCGCATCGATACTTCTGCATGACATGATTAATATTTAGGGATATATTTCGAATCCTATTTAAAGTATCCACGTAGACTTTTTGGTCTTGTTCGAAAGAGTGGAGGTCAACAATTGTCTCCAAAGCGTTATAAAGTTCAGAAGGATATTGTAGAGTGCAAAGTAACTTGGAATCTTCACCAAAAATGCTAATGGGGTGATCTTTGAGCCAACTATTAAACCAAGGGTCTTCAGCACGAGAGGTTACCAAGGCTTCCAAGAAAGGCCCCAAGTGCTTGGCATAGGAGACATATCGGGGCTCAATGCAGTGTATATGAGTGAAAAGGGCACTACCAAGTTCTACTATCATTTTGGAATTTGTTACTTCTTTGCTAGGTAACAAGCTGAGAGACTCAAAAGAATCTTGTGTGTTTCGAAAGAAGTCATAGGTGCCTTCAAGCAAAGACCTAGTCAAAGTAAAAATAGTGCAGAATCCGGCTTTCTTTGTATGAAGGAAGCTCTGCTTTGAACTAGGCAGGTAAAATTTTTGAATAAGGTCGTCCAAAATAAGGGCATGTCTTGCTGAAATCGTTAAAAAGGATGACATAATCTCCAGGATGTATTCTTCCTTCTGATCTTGGCTAAGATTTTTGGGCCTTTTCCCTTTAATGTAGTCAGCAGGTTTTTTTAATGAGTGAGTGGCATGCGAATTATTGGTACCAGAACCGTTAGAAGTAGCTTTTTGCTTAAAAAATAAATCGTCCCAAAAACTTGTTTTCTCTTTAACCAAAAATTCCATAATACTTTGATAGCTGGTAGATGTTAAACTTAAAAAATTTTTAAAATTTTCAATTTCGTATTTCGTTTTATTCAACAACAGAGCTGACCAACAAGCGTTTGTTTCAAAAGAGAAGTCTACATCTTCCACTGAGTTCATATTGGTTAACCTGATACGGCAAGTTTCCGTAAGAGAAGGTTTAAATTCTATAAAGCAGTGGGTGTCTAATAGATTCTCGAAACTTTCCAGCGATCCAGGGGCCCTTAGTTCAGAATTCAATTTTAAGGAACTCTCCAGATCAATGTGAGCACTTCGAACCCGCGTTACTCCCTCACACTGTTGAGCATCATATTCGCACAACCATTCCGATGATGGTAACGATGAATGACTACTGATTGTAAAGTCATTGTAAATACGAATTGTGCTGGTAAATAACCAAACTAGATAGATCACAGTAAACGGTTTGGCTTTGTAGGTATAGGCGTCTGTAGACGATCCTGAGTAAAACTGTTTTACTTTCAGCCGACGCCTTTTCGTTAGCAGTAGAATATCGCTAAACAAAAACGCATAGTAGCAGTCACATTTCGAATTTAAGCCTAAACTTTCGACGTAAAGTTCACCTTCTCTCAATAACAGACGATGACCGCTAAAAAGATCCACCTGAGGAACTAAATACCAATCTAGTTTTCTTCTCAGAACAAGAAACTTTTTATGGGAGTCTACTCTCCTTATAAAGTTTTCGATGCGACGGTACTCCTTAAGCAGAATTTTGTAAGATTTTATAATTCCTCTATAACTTGGGTGCTCTAAGGGTGTATGTAAGACTATTTCTTTAGTAAGGCTAATATAAAGAGACAACTGGTGAAGAGGTCGAGTCAGTTGAGCTAACAGTCCCTTTTCTTCAGGGTCAGTCGTAAGACGCAAAGATACTATTAGTTCCGAAAACTTCTTACTTACCTTCATAAGTGAAATAAGTTTATATTTCATGGATCTTAACTTTGAACACGGAACGTGATAAACATCATACAAACTTAAATAAAATTCTATTAAAACAGGGCTAATATCGCTAAGATAGGGCCAGTGCCGATTTCTAACTTCTTCCAAGCTTTTAAAAAACTTTCTAATAGAAATAATTATTTAATGTAGTGTTTAAGTGCGCAAGAAAAAAGCTACCTGTTTTTATTTAGAAGTAAATCTATATTTCCAAACATAGCATCTCTAAACAGATACGTCATGATTTTTTCGGCACACAATTGATTATAGAAGGATCGCTGAAGGTGTCCCATAGCTGCTATATATCGGTACTCACAATTAATGAGCTTATACATGGAGAGCTGCCTTCGAAGCTATAATTATGTCAAAAAAAGAAGTAAAAAACTTGAGCGCTGCTAACAATAAAATATATAGGAACCTCTGCTTCGGGTAATTTGTCTGTATGTGGTTTCAAAATTGAGTAAAATCTGCATGATGTGTAACTTATTTCCTTCCATAATACTTCAAAAATGTTGTCTTCAGCACTTAAAGAAAGCTATAAAAAAGACTCTTAAGAATGGATGCCGTAAAAACTTAGACAAATTATGGATAACTTGGGATAGGGAGTCGGACTTTTTTTTTAAAAAGGCATTTATATCGATCTTCCAAGTTGATAGAATCCAGCTTTTATTCTGCTCATAATCCAAAATGCTCGCACTCATACCTCGAAGAGTAAACCAAAACTAGCAAGTAATCAAGTAAATAGATGACTAAACAGCCGGGCAAAAGATAAACACGCAACTTTCACTTATTAGAAAGAATAAATGCTTTGCCACAGACTTTTGTATTTCGTTAACCATATTTTACCTATAAATGCAGTGTGTTGGCCTTACATTACCTTAAGTCAAACCATCAGTATAAGCTATTCAACAATTATATGCCTTAAGCGGTAGTGAACAGCCCTGTCAGCCAATATAACAACTACTTTCTTAAAAATTTTTAACGCCAAAAAGGGAAAGTCGACAAATCAAATATCCTTTAAAAAAAATAATTATCATTTGCATGGTGTAGTAGTTCTATATATTTAATCGCTGATTTCAACTTCTAAGGGAATCACGGCAGCGTTTTGATGATGCTTCGAGGCTACTAGTGAACATTTAATTTTAATACATGTATAGGAACTAACGTAGTAAATAAATTTTAATTAGCAAGTAAAGTACGATTTGGATGTCAAAACTAATTGCATTTTTTAGGAATGTAATTTATAAGTTCGGTAATGTCTATCACATCAGTGCCCCGGTCTTTAAGTATTTAAATTTCATCACTAATACCACATTTCTAAGGGCGTAATTGGAATCATAGTTTTTCATTGGTGGTTTACAACTGCGACGACTAATACATCTAACAAAATTAAAAAAATTTGATCGACTCAGAACACAAAAAACGCAAATAAAGTAAAATAACAGAAAACAAGAAAAGCTTATTGGCGAGATCTAATAGCTTATTGTGAAGCTGTCCCATCAAGCCCTAAAGATTGCTTGTATCAAAAACCGCGTGCTAAATGCTTTTTATTTTTTTTTTTGCTTCTGTGCGATCCCGTTTATTAATGGTTTAGTTGGGTACAAAAATTTCTGTTACCCCTTTTCAGATAAATTTTTTAATGCGCAAGAGAAAGAAAACTTGCATATAATATCAAAACAAGTCATGATTACAATGACAACTCTGTATAAGTTAATACTTTATTAATCTTTGGTTACAACGACAACTGACTTTTTTGCAAGGGCGGGAGAGAGGCTAAAATTTAATAGCAGCAACTTTACAAACCATTTTAAAAAAGGGATTAAACCTGCTAAGGTTTATAATTTTACTCATTGTAAAAAGTTGCGTACATCACCAAACGCAAATTGTCTAGGCGATAAAGGAGTCCAAAGTTAACCGTAAGCGGACCAGTATTGAAGATAAAAGTAGAGTAATTCGTTATTTCTTTGAAGAGAATAATTCATTTTTTTAAATAAATGGGTTGGTCGTTGAAAGATTTTGATAAAATATATAAGGAGATCTATAAAGCAAGTTCTGTTGTGCTAAAGAGATCGACCTTGATTAAAACAGTATGGTCACAACTCATATAGTTTGCTAAATACATTTTTTTAGCGGAGAAGGATGTCTTATTCTTTTAAGGAACGCAGTTAAAGAGGAAAATAGTCGAAAGGGCGAATGATATTCATAAGCTTGCAAATTTAAATGGTTATTTTCAGTGTTTAAAATTACAGAATTTTCGCTGCTTTGACAAGGCTTGAATGCCAACCTAAATTATTATTGAAAAACTTATATTAAAATTCGGAATTATCATTACCAATATTACCATTATTTTATTAATTATTTTCGTTAGAACTACTAATTTTCCTATTGTTATCATTAAAACTGTTACTACCACTGTTATTAATATATAAAGTACTAAATAATTGTTATTTCTGTTCTTTTTATTATAGCATAGTGCTTGCAATTATTTTAAAATAACTAAGCGAAAGGTGTTTGTCTTAGAATTTATGAGGGCGAGGTAAAATATGCGATCATCAAAGATCGAAAAAGAGACCCGATTCGGTGGGATTCGAACCCACGGTCTTGAGCATGCTCGCCAATGCTCTTAACCGCTGAGCTGCAAGGACAACTATCAATCCCAGTGTGATGGTTTTAAGCATTTAACCCTGTTAGTTTGCCCTTGCAACCACAATATTTCTTGGTGTACTAGCTAGTTGGTAGTACAATAAAAACATATAGGAACCAGTTACATTTAAAAATAAATTGTATGTTCCTTAGTGCCATTACTAAAGACACACCGCGCCTAGTGCTTAATGGTAATAATTTTTATTAGATGACTTAAAGCGTATAAGATTAGAACCATAATAGCCAAAGCTGCCCATAATTTTTAGAACGTTGAGTGCGCTATTTTCATATATGATAACCTACTGAAGATTAGTAAAAATGGCAATTTTCTTATATAATATTTTGAGATAACTGTAGAAAATTGTCAGGTATACTCGCTCTAGTACGTACAGTCAAAAGGGTTGTTTGCGAAACAAGCCGGTAAAGGTAATTTCACTTTACATGAACAGAAAGAGAATTGTACAACCCTCATACTAATTTGTCGGTACAATGGGGCCCAATGGCGAAGAGTAAGCAATATAACAAAGTTTGTTTTAACGAAGTAGCGAAAGTCACTCTTCTGAACAGCCGAAAGGCATGGCCTGTGGACATGGCTTCACTGTCCTTGACTTTCTCGATCGTTCAGAGGAGACCTTCCGCTGGATTTATAGCTGCGTCTTTGCAGTCGATAATTGCTTGCTTTTATGTGTTCTTTTACCGTATAACTTAAAAAGAAACGCTATTGACCTTTTTCAAGACAACGAATTTAATCTTCACCTTTACTTGCATACTTTTTATAGGTACATATATACTGTATTAAGGTGCCGCCCTATTATAAAAGGGCTAGCTACTTTACTATTTACTTTACTTTTTTATGTTAATTCCTCTTATTTTTAATTTATACTTGTTTTTTAAAAATAGTCTACTTTTTATGGCTTGTACTAAATCTGGTAAAGCAAATTTAGATTGTAACATCCTCTTTCCTGACTTGTGTAACTATGACATATTTAACACATTGAGCAGGGAAAATTACTTTTTGCTAAGTCGGGATTTTAAGTACATTCATCTTGAGTTATTAATACACAGTAGGATTAAACTAAATTTTTTTTTTTTAAGGGATTCAGAGCCCCTTATAAGAGAACTTGAAGTTTTTCAAGTTTTTAAAGTACCAATTATAGTGGTTCCTACTTTTGAACAACCGAGCCCAAGAAAACTCTGCTTCGGTCAATATTTTTGTTCACAACAAAAATTTTAAAGCCAATAAAAAGGATTAATTTGTACGCAATAGGAAAGCAATGGAAAGGTCTTTACCTTAATATCGCTGTCGGGGGGACGTTCGACCATCTTCATTTTGGGCACAAGATCTTATTAACTATCAGTGCTTACCTCTGCACCACACGATTAATATGCGGTGTTTCAGGTGATTTTATAATGTATATGTAAGTATATTTTAAAAAGCTAAATGGTCTCAATTCCACCCTCAAACCTAATATTCCTTTTATTACAACATTAAAGACAAAGTTACCCGTTTGTTAGCTCACAGGCGTTAACATACACTTAAATTGTTTTCTAATTATATGAAAAACGGAATGTCGTTATGGCTATATAGTTGTAGTCTTCAAACCAAATCTTCTCATGTTTTCCTCTAATCTTTGTTGTCTGCTTGTTACAGTTATAACAATTGTACAGGGAAAGCCTTACTGAGTTCCAAGAAATACTCGCATTTATTGGAAACTTATCAGAAACGATGTAATGAAGTTCACCTTTTTTTAAACGTTGTTAAAAGGGGAATTCTTTATGAGGTTTAAAAGATTATTACGAAGATTTAATTATAGCTTTATTTTTTGAAAAGGTCTTCTAATTAATTTTCCAATAAATGGAACTATTATAGTTTATTAAACTGGAGGATAAATACGGGCCCCTATTGAAGGAGGTGAACCTCCAAGCTCTGGTCGTTACTGAGGAAACCGAAGAAACTGCAAAGAGCAGTACGTTATATACAAATCGTTCAAGCGTTTGCCCGAAGCTACTCCATACTATAGTTATTCGGGAGCGAGTCGAGCTGGGCCTCCCCGATATAGACGTCATCACGGTCGACTTGCTGTGCACCGGCAAAGAAAAGCTCAGCTCCACAAATATTAGAAAAAAATTGCACGGATAAGAAATAGATAATAAACTCTACAAAGAAAACCATTAAAAAAAAAAAAGCGAATAACAAGGTCCAACATTGAAGCATTTAATTTGCTCTAAGTATAATACTCCGAATTTACTACAAGGAGCTTAGTGGTTAACCAATAAGTTTATATCTGTTCCGCACTTAGAGCACAGGCCTTCTTTCAAAGAACAATCAAAACAGCGGGTTCGGTAGGCCTTTGTAATAGCTCTTTTCTTACAGGAAACACTAGTAATAAGCATAGTTATTGTATATAGCATAAAAACGAAAAAAATTACAGTAATTACAAAAGTTATACGTTGTATTAACTAAAACGTAGCTTAAAGTAATATTTTATGCTAGCTCAGTACACCATCATAAAAGCTAAAATACCTAAAAGTTAAATAGAATTGAGAGAAACGGGTTCTACTTTATAATACATTCATGAATTGCTGTAAAGGAAAAGTGACTACAACTTTTGAAGTTTAATAACATATACACTCCTAAAGGGGCTACACAAGCAAATTCGAAAAGTAAGAGGGAAAATAATAGGTATATAACTCTACAGTAACATAAACGTAATAATTTAAAACGATGCAGGGTAATTAATAAAAAATAAAAGATGGAAAGAATCTCTAGAGAACAGATAACTAAAGCTCACTTAACTTTGGTGCCGTGAACACAGGACATTAAGTGATCATGACAAAGCTAACTATTCATTACAGCAATTAATAATATTTCCAGAAGTTAAAAGTGTATATGCGTTCAATATAGTATTAACAAAGTTAATAAGTTATTAAACCAGATTTTCGGGGTGGTGAGAGGTTTATACTTTTGGAATTTTCTTTTCCACTCCAAAATTGCCTTGCACTTTACGCAGAGACCGTCAAATTTAAAACTATTAATTCTGGCCGCTAAGGTGCTTTTGGGGATATACTTATAGGCATAAACGTTCTGGTATTTCTGTCCACCTTTTTTAACATTTCCCCTCTGGGAGCTCATAATTCAGTTTGAAAAACGTGACGATTTTAGCCTAGGGAGGAGGTAAGGTTTTGTGCATTGTAAGCAACTATACCCATGCCGAGGCCTCTAATAATAGGGCACTTTTAGTATGTATGTCAAATATATAGAGGCTTCCGTTTGTAATTTTAACAGTTGCTTTCAATAACTACTCCAGGGGAATAGGTCAAGGCATACAAATGAGCTTTACATAGGGATATATTCGCAAAGTTTCCCACCATGCCCAAAAGTGGATGCCAGCCTAAAGATATATAGAAGTCATTTTTTTTTTAAAATTAAGTTCTAACAACTCCCAATCCTCATCTTATTAAATGATTTGATGTTTTATATTCATTTTATTTCAGATATTAGTGCTTAATTCTTCGAGACATCCTAATTAATTTACTATGGGGTCAACTGTCTCGAACCGGAGCATTTATACTCATAAATCTATTAGATTTTCACCAGTTTAAAAAAGCAGAAACTAATTTACGCAAGTAATGAGTCCTAACAAAATTTCAATACAAGGAAACCCATTATAAGTTAGAAGAATAAATTGATTTTTAATACTATCTTAAACTCAATTGCTGAACTTTAACTGGTTTCAAAGTGCGAGCAATAACAAATTAAATTTAGCAACCCTAATGTCATGAGACCATGGAGACAGTATTAGCTAAAGGTACTACAGTAGGGGCAAAGAAAAAATATTTCCAGTGATAAAGTGCACATCGTTATCTCGTAAATACACTAACCATCTACTGTTTGCTAAGTTAGAAAACCAAATTCACCGCACAACGGCAATAAAAAGGGAGACGTAAATGTAGACCTTCAACTAAACACTAGACCTGCATTTATAAAATAAGAATAAAACACAACTTTCTACGAATGCAAAAGAGCTTATAACACTTTTGTGAAGTAAGAATACACAATCCAATAACTATGTACTTTTAGGTAAAAAATAATATTGCTAGGTAATTTTACAATTTAATTCGAGTTGTATTTTAGTATCTGCAATATCTCCACACCGATTTCGTTTATATAGATTTAATAATACCCAATTTTAAATATACGTAAACACTTATTAGAATGTAACATACAAATCATGAAACCCTAAACCTAAAATTTATACAATTTTAAAGGTGATACGAAAGCGTATTGGTAATAAATAAGGATTCTTATTATAGAAAGTGAGTACCAAAAAATATTCATTTTAATTAAAACGATGCAGATTACTCGGAATAAAAAGATAACTCTGATAGTTAATGTAACTGAGCTTTCAAACTACGCTTCTTACCCAGTGACGGTGACATGGTGAAAAACAAAGACGGGGTTTAGACGTATTAGATATCCCGATTTAAAAAAATATTCGTATTACAAAGGCAATGGAGGCACTTTACATACTCTGGTCGGACCAGCCTCCAGTTCTTTTATATTGGGCCAGAAAGGGGTTACTGAGGGGCAGAATTGCGGGATGGGCTCTAATGCTCTTGTTATAACCTCTTCAACATCCTACGTCTTACTCAGGACATCCGCACTACTTGACGTTACTGTTGCTTGATTAGAGGGCGGTGTGGTCATGATGTACCACACCACCAAGACACCAATACGTGAAGTTAAATCCAACCGCTTCCTGATGAATTAAAGGTACTTATCTGCGAGCGGCGGCGCCTTATTCGAGTGACTACAGTGTCACAACGCCCCGAGGGTACACCGGCGCATTAGGAAAGAGCTGTTGGCGCCCACAACCGATTGTGGGAGACAAAGTTAAGTAATATCGGGGAAAAAAAAGGCAACGGTCGCTTCTCTTTCTGGCCGAGTGCCTTTAGCATTACCTCCTATGCGAAACGATACTTTTTGCTGACCAGCTGGTTATTCAGTGTGTGCCATCTGCTTATATAGTTGCAGATGAAGTGTTTAGTGAATTAAACTTCTACGCTGAGGTCGATGAACAGCTTGAGTCAATCACCATAACCGAAGTCCTGGAGATCAATAACGCATTACCGAGAAGAACAGCACCTGGCACCGACGAATCATTTTTGGGATCTTGAAGCTATTACCAATGGTGTCGGTAGAATTTCTAAGCTGCCTCATCAACTCTACGATGACTCCCGCCACTTTACCATTGTACTGTGAGAAGGCAACGGTGGGGTTGCTCCCGAAGAGGCCTACCAGCCTCTAGTCCACCGTTGCAAGGTAGCCTAGTGACGTTTGCTAACTGGTGGTCGTTAAATAATTACTATTAATCTGGAAAAGTGCAAATCCTTTCATCAAGAAGAAGCGCACTAGCCCATAACCGCCACTACCTCCGAAAAAAAGATAATTCCTTGCAGTCCTCAGGCGAAATACCTGGGGAGTAGTGTTGACCATAAGCTCTTGTGGCGGCCGCACGTATCTTATATCGCGACGAAGGTTAAGGCGGAGGTTCAAACCCTATACCCTTCACTTTATGCCCGAAGCAAATCTCGTTGCACAACGAACGACGTTTGTATATGTTGTGCATTCGAGCAACCATAACATTAGCGTGTACCGCCTGGGCTCATGACTCAATGGCATATCTCTTTGCTTCAAGTAGACAAACCAAGCTGCTACTTCTTATGACGGACGCGCCGTGGTTTGTTCGCAACGTTGCATACATCAAGGCCTCCAGATTGGACCTTTGGCTAACGTCTTTCGACGCAATGCTATCGCTTCCAAAGAATAGATGCTCAATCAGCACACCAAACGATTACTGGGGAGAAGGTCACTTACGAAATCTGGGGCGCCGACCCGTAGTGGACTATAAATATATAATAAGGGTTAGAGGTCGAATTTATTTTTAACACATATATATGAGATTGCTTTAACACAAGCCTAAAGCCAATGCGTACGCTATCAACCTGTTGAGAGCTGTGAATTCTCTGTTTTCTTTACAAACCGATAGAGCACCAAAAATACCATTAATAATTTTTAAAATTTTGAAAAATTTTTTTTAATCTTTCGTAATAACTACTTACTTTATATCTTTTTAATTATATGTTTCTATTATCTATCTCACGTATCATAATTTTTGTTTTTGCTTCTCAATTCTTCACTAACTATTTGAATTTAAATTACCATTTATAACCCACTTAACCACTACTTTAATTTTTTTTTCAGAAAAAGGTTGGTGAAACTGGCCCTCGGAACCATTTAATCAACAGCAACTCACACTTAAAGTAAAATAGGAGAAACAGTAACATATTTTGTAGTCATAACCTCTTACGTCGGGTTCAGACAGTTTTAAATACTTTATTATACCAGTTCCGAAATATAAAGGAGAAATGGAACAGATTTTTCGCTAGGTTTAACAAACCAAAAATTTAAAAAGAACGTTAAACTTTACAGAACCATGTCCACCGTCTCATTCAGGGCTGCGCACCGATAAAAGAAGCGAAATTATTAACGATAGACTACAGACCAAGGTTTATTACGAAAGGGTGTACGACTATACACACCATGCCAAAGAACACACCTCAGTTTATGCTGAGTGAAAGAAGTACTTAAATTATTTCCAATACCGCGCTGAGTGTGACACAGTGCTTATTACTAATAATAAAATTAAGAAAAAAGAGCTCCCTTCGGGCAATGAACAATATTACACGTGTGCGCGTATGAAGTCACTAAAAACTATTAGGTTGTGAACGTTTCCTACTACCCGTTGTCTAAAGAGGACGCCACAGAACAGTGCACTTGAAGGAACGCTAGTTTAAAACCCAAGTATTCTAACAATGTGAATTTCTCAATTCTTAACAGGTAAACTTTGCTCTCCAGATATGCTAAACCCTCGGGGAACTGCTAAGTCACCACGAGAGCTTACAAGTTCAATTAGTCCCGTTATTAAATTTAAAGATAAAGAGATTTTAGTTGACGAAATTCAAACAGTAGCCTTTGGCCTGAAAATTTTCGTTTCACCATGTTAAATAAGAGTTAAAAAGGGGTAACTACGAAATTAATTATATCTTTCTAACGCCTATCTAGCAGACATTTTTACCAATATATCCAGACGGAACATAAAAACATACTGAAGTGGCAGAATTAAATAATACTACAAGCAGCAGACCTCCGCAGTTTTAGTTATAAACAGGGTAGAGTTGGGGTTAAAGCATTAAAAAAAACATTCACTAAGTTTACCTTAATACTTCGCGTATCAAGAGTTCGATGTTTATTGACCCGATTTGAGTCCCAGGGGATATTATCTGTATATAAAAAAATGCGGTATTGTCGTCCTCCCCCCTTTGTTTGTGCTTCGTTAATACGTTTTTCTGCTTTATTTGTGGGGCTTAGGAGGCATTGTATCAAGTTGTTTATCATAGTAAACTCCGAAATGACTTTTCCTTCATTAAAGTTTATTTAAATGTGTCTATAACGCTGAATTTTATGATAGTTAACTCGTTTTGGTATTTAAAAATACCAACTCTACAATTTGAGTGCCTGTCCTCTACTTCAAAGTTGTTTCTACGTTTCTATGGTGAACTTGAATATAATATAGTGAGTTAAGATATGTTTGTTTGTGGCTTATTCTTATCGTAGATAGAATACAAAACATTCAATTTTCTTAACAAAATGCTCTCATACTTAAAAGTTTATTTACGTTTATAAAAAAAGTTTATTAACAGTTTCTCAAGAATAATGCTCCAGGTTATAAAATGTGATCTTAATTCTGGTTCCAAATGTTGCCACAGGTAATGCTTTGTTTACTTAATGCATTTAACAGGGATCTTTCAAAAAGTTCTTCCTTCAACCAATAATTGGTTTTATATCTTTTTTGACTTTTACAACCTGGTTATTACATAGGCAGAACTTAAATTTTGTCTTAATGAACAAAATCTTAATAGACCATGTTTTTCAGGGCAAGAAGAATAGTCAGGTAGGTGATCCACACTATCCTCGAATATTAAGTCAATCTCCCTCATTCCTAAAGCAAAGTTGTTTGGTTCCAAATAGCCCACAGGTGTCGGTCTTGTTACGATAATGATTGCATTCCTGTTAAAACCCCAAAAGGCATTATAACAAAAAATTTAAATAAGTATATTCTATCTCAATAATAAGTTTTTAATTAGGTTTGCAGTAAAAGGGTTAGGAAATTACTTTTTTCTAATTTATATCTCCGGTGGTGGATCTTTATTACATTTTCCTTTGAATGAAACCAAGCTATAACGTGGTGCCCGAAGTTAAGTTTAAAATCTATACACAAGCATACAGGCCCAAACACAGATTTATATAATTTTATTGCTGCTGGGGCCTGAACTATTTTTTTCAAAAAACTTTTTTTAATTAGTCTAACCAGTGTTATTTTGAGTTTCCTTACACCGTATAACCTTCTCTGTTTATATAAGCTACAAACTAAATTATACCGAATATACATGTACATAGTAAAAGATGCTAAATAAGTACCTTGGAGCGAAGATTAAATTTTTTAATTGAGAACTGTGGGAAGCGATCATTATGCCAAAGTTATTAAAAACTTTTATTTGCTCCTTTAGAGACAATTTTTCATGCACCGTCACATTTTTGTACGTATTTATATTATATTTTTTTAAAACTTTTTCTAAAATCTCGTAATTTAATATTTTGCGTAATCCGGTACCTAATGTAATGAATAATAAATATCTTGTTGCGTTTTTAGAAGTTTACTTGCCTTCGATACGTTGCAGAACTACAGCTTTTGCAGGAGGGCACAGTTTGTCCTCTATATTAAAATTTAAATTTAGAAAGCTTCTCCATTCTTCTCCTTGACTTTTGGAAAAAAAAACTTGCTCGTGTTGATACGGATCAACCTAAAAGAAGTACATAATGAATTATAAAAGCAACTTTGTCAAGTTAAATGTAAAAGTATAGTTATGCCTCAACTAATTTCTCAAAGCATATACTCCCGTTTACTTCTTTATTAAAATCCTCCGAGAAGATAGACATACTTTTCCAATTTGGGATTAAGTAGTTTGCTAGATCTACGACATATGCGCCGCTAAGCATTGGAGACCTCGCAGAAACAATTAAAGAAACGGAAGGCATTTTTAAAGGATTGCTCTTTGAAAACTAAAACATACAGATGAATAAGGCAGGGAATTGACTACTTCATGAATTATAATATATATTAATACCTACCGATATCAAGTGATATAATTGTAGAAGGCGATTTACGGCGTGACCAACCCGCTCTTGGGTATTATGAGTATAATACCAATAAGAGTACTCTGTTACAGTATAACTTTAAATTTAAGTTATAAATAAAACTCAATATAAACACCCTTTTTCCACTTTAAAGCTTTTTTCTTAGTTTCATCGAACGTTATGCTATTTATATCAAAGTCCGCTTTATCTTTTATAAATTTTTAATAACTGTGTATATTATTAAAGTTATTTAATGTAGTATAATACAGAAATCCAAAGAAGCTAGCAAGCCTAGCGGTATCAAAAACTGTACACTATAAAAAAAGATGGCGCAAATAAAAAAGGCTGGTCTCTAACTTCTTTTTGACCGCTTTAATAAACCAAGACGTAATATTATTTTGCTTTTACAGCAAAAATGTTACCCTTTAGTATGGAACAGATATTCATCATAACTCGTGTGCAATTACCAAAAGGCTTTTCAATTAAGTTGCAACAATAACTGGGTTATGCATTTAATAGAGATAACTATCTATTATTTTTGAATCAAAACTTTATTATATACCTCCAACTAAGCACTTCATGCTCACTTCTTCCTACCAAAGTTACATTATATTTACTGAGACAGATATCCTTTTGTAAGTTAAAAAGGTAACTCACAACCAAGTTTATAACAACTAATTACATATTACCTTATAAACGACCAAAGGCATTTGAAAGCCTGTTATAAATGTTCCCGAATCCACATCATAGTGATCATATTTTAAAAAAAAACCGATTTTATTGGCGAAGGAAATAAGTTTAAACTGGGTAGCGATGAAAAGTAAAAACACAGACAAAATTAAGACTGGCACAACCCTTTTTATGAACTTCATAACATCAATTATTTTTGTTAGTAAAAAAAAATTGTTTGTTAAGTTACGGTCTAGGTTTATTTAATTTTCATGGTTGCTTCTTACCGTTTCATAAATAAATTTATTTTATATAAACCTTGTGTGAACTAAATCAACTATAAGGCAGTTTGTTTGCCATAAATAGGGTTGCATTACTGATTGGTACTTTTCTACTTATCAAGTAAAATATAAATTTTATCTTTAAACTTCGGCAAATCACAACGTATATAACATTAAAAAAAAATTTCGGTAACGCCACAAAAATAATACTTTTTTTGAAACATAATGAAGAAATATAATAGTAATAATTTTGATATAGAGATGTGAATTACATTAATAATTAGCTCACTAACAAACATGGAAATCAGCGGTCAATTTTTTTTAACCGGTATCATGGTGTGTAAGCCAAGCCTTAACTTCTAGCGCTTTGTGAATTTAAAAACTTAATATTAAATTCTAGTTAAAGCTTCTCTGTTAATTTATAGTGGTTTACAGAAACTTATTACTTATTTATTATACAGTCGTGATGTTTAATAACTTAAAACCCACTAAAAATTTTTTCAAGGTCTAAAGAGGTAGGTTTTAGAAAAGTTCTTTTTAAAAGGCCATGTTTTAAGGAAAAAAAAATTTATTAAGAGATATAACTACTTTACTAAGGACTTACTTAAAAGACAATAGAGTCTCTCCCCAATAAGTTGTTATTATTATCATAGCATTATTATTAGATTAATTGCTAATTTATTGTTTATTATATTTCTATTAAATTAATGTTAAATTATCATATTAATTAATACTACCTCTACTTATTAATATAAAGATCAGTAATGTAATAAATTATTTGTTAAAAATTTTTCATATATGGAAGGAATTCAGTCGTCTATATGTGAATGAAGTTGGCGGGGCTCTCTTTAAGTGGTCAGTAAAACTTTACTATGATCTTCAAAAGCTATTAGGCATTTCCATAAATGGTCCAAGTTTGCACTCATTGCAAGTATGAGAGTTCGTTAACCTGTTAGCCACATTCTTCAACGCTCTTTATTGTGGCGGTCACAATTAATTAAGGTTGAAATATTAAATTATAAAGAGGGTTATAGCCTTATCTCGGGCGGTTTTTAACCTCTACGCTCTCTGCAAAGAAATACAAATTCTCCTTTACAGGCTTCATTAAATTTCCTAAGAACGGTCACCAAATTTTTATTCTTGTTACTTAATTCATGTCAGTAACAGAAAATTCTATTTAGTCTGATTAAACTAAACTTTTTACCATAAAGTATCGTTTAGTTTAGTGCACTTTCGTAATTATGTATTTTGTTAATTTGTTTATAGTAATAATTAATGCGTTTCAAAATTTATTAGACGTTGCAACCTATCTTACAAGGCCCCACCTCTTTTATAATTTTTGCAATTAAACTATTATATTACTTGCTAGCCTCCTATAGATCTTTTTGTGCGAAATATACTTAGCTTACAAGGTCTTCTTGTTCTATTATTTTTGTTTTCGAAAATTGTTTTATAAATATTGTCTTTACCTGTTTATTTTATATGCCATAATAGGCTTATCAATACCTAACTCTTGCATATATTTTTTTTAATTTTGCCATAATTTTCGTCTGTAGGAAGATGGAACGGGACAGTAACCCCTGTGAGACATAAACTGGTTTATGAACCCGGAAACTAAGCACCATCTTTCCTTAACTTACATCTACGTTTTAAAAACAAAACGTAGCAATTTAGGTTATTTTACAGAAGAAGGTGCAACTGCGTCAAAAATTATAAGTACGAATTATATGAGTCATGAGTTAAAAAAAACGTTATAAAGAGCTCTAGGGGAAAACGCTAATTGACGTATAAATGTAAACCTAGAATAAATTAAAGTTTTTGTTTGGTGAAACCGTCTATAAGAAGGGTTGATCACTTACCGTTTGCCAGGTTAGTAAGGGTAAATTGTAGATATAAAAATTACTTTTCATCTATAACTTCTAGTAGTCTAAAGACACTAATTGTTTAAATTTCCATCATCCCCGGGAGGAAAGGAATTATTTAATAAGCCCTCAAATTGAATAATGAAATTGAGATGAAGTTAAAACGAAAATTATATTATAAGTTGTTAAGACTTATAGCCGTAAAAATTCTATAAAGATAACAAAGCGCTCCTAAGTTACATTGAAAAAGTAATTGTATAATAAAAAAGTGTATAATAGAATATTAAGCTTAATTTTTTAAACGAAATAATATATGAAACAGAGAAAAAATTAGCTAATAAAACTACGAACGAAACTTAAAGACAAAAGGTCTGAAATAAGAACCGAGATAATATAAAAGAGCTCAAAACGCACTTTTACTATATAGGATATAACAAGAATCGAAGCGCTTTCCACCGGGTGCAAGCCCATTTTCTAAAAGTTTACTCAAAATTAGGTGCTCGAGGTTATAACATGTGTACCATCGTGACGATGACGTAAAACCATCATAACCGGGGTCGAGAGTTGTCGTCGTAGCTCAGCTCTTAGGGGCATTGACGCGCCTACTCAAAATTGTGAGTTCGATTCCCACCGGCGCGCGACGCTTTTTTTCGGTCTTTGATGGTCGTATCGCCCTCATTAATTTAAATAGTTAGGGCTCTAGCTCCGTAAACTTGTCTGCCTTAGGGGATCACACCCGGTGTCCCACAAGCAAGCATTTAATCTAAAAAGTGTATGATAAATGCACAAGCGGAACATACATTTACACTTAATAAACGATTCGTTACCCATTACGGTATTTAGTAGGTAAACTTTATCATCTATAAAGTACTAAGTACTTTTATGTATTTTTTTGTCGTATTTGAGGGCTTTACTGATGAGCACTTAAAAACGTAAGACCTAGAGTGGCGCGTTCTCGGCTGACGTCATTTTATTTGACTAGCCACCTGATGCTGGTCACTGACAGATGAAATTGATTGGGTTGGCCCACACCAGAATTTTAACAGCTTATAACCTTTGTCTCATTTTCTTTCGAGATTGAGTTTATTAGAATTAGTTGGTGGCCTTTTTTTTTTATCAAATTGCTTAAGTAGATAATTAAACTACCGTAACAAGTCTTGCTCGCGCCTAGTATATTATATTCAGCTCGAGTAATAATTTTTAGTTAGCCTTAGTCTATCTATTCAGATCCATAAGGTTATTAGAATTAGTTGGTGGCCTTTTTTTTTTATCAAATTACTTAAGTAGATAATTAAATTACCGTAACAGGTCTTGCTCGCGCCTAGTTATTATATTCAGCTCGAGTAATAATTTTTAGTTAGCCTTAGTCTATCTATTCAGATCCATAAGGTTAAAATTACTCTTCTATCATAGCGAGCACGTACAAAAATTAAGGTCTCACTGTTTTCTTTTTTTTTGTAACATAATATTGTGGGTGGTAGTTCTTTGACGCTCATTGCTCAAAAAGTATAATAGTTAATTAATTTTTGCTTGTACAGCTTTTTTTATTATAAACCACTTGCAAGTTATGCATGGCCAAGCAAACTGAAATCTGAGCCTAATTTCCTACTTGAGATTAATTTAGTGACGTCCATTCTGATGCTACCTCGTAAAAAAACCCTATTATTAATTTACAGTGATAGCATCTTTTATAGCCTGAAGAAAAACAAAATTCTTATTTTTCTTTAAGTAGATTAACCATTAGAACCTTTTGCAGGAAGCAGTGGTTTATCTCTTAAAGATTATTAAACTATGTGGTAAGAATACATAATTTTAGATCCTTGGAAAATTAACAAAAGTAGCCAGGTAAGCTGCTACTGAGCTTTATTAACTGAGTTTACGCTGCTTTTGAAACCTATAACTAAGTCTTTACATAGGATGTACCAGCGGGCCAACTTTATATGTAATAGCACGTTCAAACTTATTATTATGGAAATTGGAATGCTTTAAAGAATCAGCTTTTTAGCACATACTTGAATTTAATTCTTTAAGCACGAATAATTGTAGATAAACGGGAATGCATGAAACAGTAGCTAGCCTTTTATGTATCAATGTGAAACGCTTTTTTTTTATTAACAATCCTGCTCATCTAGTGTTTTAAAGAACTTTTTTAAAATTTTATAAAAGTAACCTTTTTTTGTATCTGTATTTTTAAATTAAATGTGAAAGTATTCAAAAGGCTTTATGTAAATGTTGTGAGTATCTATTTCTCTTTGAAACCTTTTTATAATTTATTATTACGCGAAAATAACTAATATTACACCAAAACTATTTGGGAAGATCCTGAATGACTACTACGAAGCAAAACGATTTTTATAAGAAAACTTTATGGGAAGCACAGCAGTGTTATAGTTAAGATTCATTGGTGTTATAAAAGTTTTTTTAATGGTTGTGTGAAAGGAAGTTACGCCTATGAAAAAGCTGATCTTGGGATTAGGTAAGCTTAAGAGGTGGTTTGAAGAAAAGCGACGGGTAAAGGCGTGTGCACTCACAAGCGGGAGAAGGCAGCCTCCAAATTCGCTACTTGGTTTTCACAATCCATTTCTCGTTTCTGCTTATTGTATGAATATAGTCTAAAATAAAGCGAGGCGAGGAGTGAGCGAAAAGCTTTCTTTCAACCTCCTCGGCAGGAGCAACTTCGTTGACTATGACAACTGTCCAAATCTGTTCCCCGAAATACACTAATTAAATTTATAAGAAATATAAATGAGTTCACAGAAGCGCAGGATAAAGTTGAACGGGCGACAGCACGACCACAAGCTAATACACGCCGAGTTTACCGCAGTTGTCTTCGCTCCACATCTTCCAGGAAAGAGCATATTGTCCCGGAGTTGAAGGGCAGCAGAAACTAAGCCCGATTTCGCACTCGCTGCCGGGAAAAAGACTAGGAACGTCCACTGGCTGGGCGCCTTCCCCAATAAATAAATAAAAAAAGAGGTAAAGGACAAATGGAAGATTAGAACAGTACTGTTTCACAAAGCACCTTTTAGTAAGTAACCGCTTACGGGTATCAGATAAGATCTGAGGGGCCAGCTACTACGGCCTGAATTACTGAGTCGCCAAGTTTGACGAAAGGTTTCGCCTGGACGCAAGAAAGACTTAATGCAAATATTGTTATTTAGTTGGTGTCCTTTATATATATTATACAGTCTGAGAGCCTTACCGGGATTGTGGTAGTTGAAATTAGTTTCATGTTCAAAGTTTGCTGCTCAAAATAACTGTATG